GTTGGCAATGGCCTGGATGTGCGTCAGCAGGTGCATCTTGAAGGTGTAGCGCTTCTTAAAGGACTTCCCGCACTGCGGCGAAACAAAGCAACGCAGCGCTCACCTCCCGTCCAGCCTCACTCGCCGCCAGCCCCTCCCCAGTCTGTGCCCCCCCTCACCTTGTCACACATGTGTGGCTTCTCTGTGCTGTGCGTCTTCATGTGCTGCGTCAGCCTCTTCTGCATGGGGTAGATACGGTTGCATACGGGGCACGGGAAGGAGTTCAGCTTTGGGGGCTGGAGGGAGAGCAGGAAGGTGAGCTCACCTCAGAGGGGCTCACCAGTTTCCTCACCCTCTCCCCACTGCAGGACCTGGGCTGCCTTTCCTCAGGTGATCCAGAAACTCTGCCTTCAACGAGGCACCAACAATTTGTGGCGGACCCAGACATGCCTCTTCCCATACAACAGTGCTGAGAGACTAGCCAACAGAGTACTCAAACTCACCGGATCAGCTCTCTTTTTCCTGAAAAAGAAAGAAGACAACCCCCTTGTCAGCCACATCCCAAGTCTGACCTCCCTGGCACCCAGACACCAAAACCACCCACTCTGGAAGGGCCAGAGGGCAGGGGCAGCTGCGGCTGCCCTCCCATGGCAGGAGGCACAGCGCGAGTGCCGTTCAGCCAGGCTGCGAGACAGTCCCTGGGACTGCACTTCCCTCACCTGTCCCGGCTGTGCACCGTGGAGTGCCGGATGACGTCCTTCTTGTACACGCTGGTGTAGCTGCACTCCTCGCACTTGTAGGGTTTGCTGCCCACGTGGTTGAACATGTGTTCCTGCAGGAAGAGTGGGGCCCGTGAGACCTGGGGCTTCCAGCTGCCCCCCAGCACAGGCGCAGGACAGACGGCGCTCACCTTGAGGGAGGACCAGCGCCGGGAGCGGTAGCTGCACTGAAGACACTTGAAGAGCTGCGGGTCATTGGCCTCGTGCGAGTTGACGTGGAAACGTAGATCATCATGCGTGAGGAAACGCGAGCCGCAGATCCGACACAGGTACGGTCTCATCAGGGGCTTGGGTGACTTGTAGTAGTACCTGCGGAAACCAGAGCCGGGGCTCAGAGCTGTGGTGGCAAGCAGGGGCTGGACCGGCCCTGGGCACAGGCCAGAGGGCCCAGCGCCGGCTCGGCACACACCCCTCACCTGCGCCCCATGTACTTGCGGTATTTCTTGCCCAGGAAGCGGCGGGAGGGCCGCCCTCGCCTCCTGGGGACGACGTCTGCCTCCTCGAGGCCGGTGTTGGAGGAAGGGTCCTTGTTCTCCGAGGCCGACTGGGTGGTGCCGGGCTCCCCC